AGCTTTAGCTCTGCCCATGGTAAGTTTTTGCAAAGCACATCCCTTACAAAAGTGTAAAATGTCTCCTCTCTTATCACACTCCAGCATGCTGTCCAAGGGCCAAGTTTATGTAAGAGAAAGAGACGTTTTTGGGGCCAGAGAGCAAAGGGGCCTGCATCCTGCTTCTTGGCTGCCAAAGAGGAGGAAAGACTGACAAGGAAATGGATGTGGGTGTGGCTCAACAGTCAAACACACAGGCAGCCTTGAAGAAGATTCCTAACACAAATGTGACCCTAAAGCTGCAGATCACTATAGAGTACGCAAGCAACAACTACCCCTCCCTTTCTCTGCACCCCACCCCCCACCCCTGCCGGCCACACAGCGCCCTACCCAGAGAAGGTAGGGGAGCAAGCTCAGCCAGGACTGAAGTTAAGGTTTTATTTCATTTTATTCTTTTTAATATACCAGAATGGGGGCTCAGAGTCAGAAATGAAATTGTTGCAGAAAATAAAGTTCTACTCAAAGCAACATAACTAGCTATAAAAAAGAAAAAGAAAAGCAAGTTCTTTTTTTTTTTAAAAGATGACTGGTAAGGGGATCTCAACCCTTGGCTTGGTGTTGTCAGCACCACGCTCAGCCAGTGAGCCAACCGGCCATCCCTATATAGGATCCGAACTCATGGCCTTAGTGTTATCAGCACTGCACTCTCCCGAGTGAGCCACGGGCCAGCCCAAAAAGCAAGTTCTATTATTCTTTGCCCACCTGAATTTGGGATGAATTATACTTGCTTCATAAAAACCAAAGGGGAGGATGTTTAAATGGAAAGGGGCAAAGACTGCAAGGCTCCTGGGCTGCTCTCCCCAGCTGCCTCCTCTTAACCAGAAGCCCCTGAAAACACTTCTCTTCTGAGCCCTGGCAGTGATGCTCTGCCTTGGCTGCACATTGGAGTCACCTGGGGGCTTTAAAAGCTCCTCTCCCCCCAGAGATTTTGATTTAATCAGTGTGGGGTTCTGCCTTGAGGATTTAAAAATCTCCCCAGGTGACTGCCCTGTGCAGCGCAGGCTGTGAACCAGGAGCTAGAGGAAAGGACACCTGTGGGCTTCTGCCATTTCGCTTTTGCTTAGCCCTTGGTCAATCAAGTGGCTGACTTGTGAGTAGAGATCAGGAGATTCATGTTTTACCTTTTGCTCATGTACTGAATAGGACTTGTGCACTTGGACTTGCAGTGATGTGGGCGGCTGGGTGTTATGGAAGAGCACGTAGAGAGACATAAGTGACAACCTGGGCCCCTGCATGCCTGCAGTGCCAGGTGCTTCTGGCATGTGAATGGTGTTGGGAGTCCACAGAGAGCGCCAAGAGCTTCCCCACCACCCCTGTGCCATCCAAAGCTTCCCTAGCCCGCCTCTCCTGGTGATTATGGGATGTGGGTTGTTATAGTATTGGAGGAAGCTGATAGAAAGGGGATTAATTGCCTCCATCCCTGCTGCCAGTTGGCAACATAAATTTATCTGGAGTGAATGAATAAATGTGGAAGGATGATGGCATCTTCTAAAGGCTGCTATAAAGACTGGCATCTGTTTTCATTATTTAATCCCCAGGGACCTTGGGGAAGCCACCCTTATTAAATGGGGCAAAATTTAGGTGGGGAAAGGGAAGGGCTGCGTAAAGATAAACTACAAGGATAGGGAAGGGTTGTTGAAATTGCTTTTAAATCCTTTTTACTGACTATATGCCTAGGGTATGATAAGAGATTGTTAATCTTCGGACAATCTGGCCTTGACTACCTGATTGAACTTTTGTTAGTTCACTTGGGTCTCCCCCACTCCTTAAAGTCCTCTTTGAAAGAATTCTAAGGTATGACAAGCCCATCTGCGAAGGCATATATATCTTTCTGGCACATGTGAACGATTAAAAGATAGATCGTGGGTTCTTGCATTAAACTGACCGGAATTAAGCTGCTTGATGATAAATTCTATCTGGCGGATCAT